AAAAAAAAAAAAAGGTCAAGTCAGGAGAACCCCTTGAGGCCAGGAATTAGAGACCAGCCTGGGCAACGTAGTGAGACTGCTTCTTTAACAAAATTTTAAAAATTAACCAGGTGTGGTGGCACACAGCAGTAGTCCTAGCTACCTGGGAGGCTGAGGCAGGAGGATCACTTGAGCTATAGTGAGCTATGATTGTGCTACTGCATTCCAGCCTGGACAACAGAGTAAGGCCCCATCTCTAAAAATATAAGTAAATAAAATTTATTTTAAAAAGAGGAGCAGAGAAATGAGCCAGTAGATGGAGGGTAGGGGTGGGCTGTTGGCAGTCTTTTGTGCAAACCATCTCTAGGGGAGCATGAGTTCTATGACCACAGGGACTGCATTCATTTCGTTCTCTTTGACGGTCACCCCAGTGCCTACCATGAGGCCCCAGGGAGAGTCTGTGGAATGAAAATGAATGAGAGCTCCCTATGGCTGTTCAGGTGAGGGGGGTGAGGGCTTGGCCTGGGCAGTCTAGGACTGGGGTTAGGCCAGGGTCAGAAGCTGGCCAACTGGGTGGGTGGGCACGGGGAGAAAGGTGGGAAAAGAGTAGCAGATGAGGGACCAAGGCTGGCAGGAGGCCCAGCAAGACCCCTGTGTCAGGGGTGCGCACCTGGTGCCCAGCTTGGGTGGATGCAGGGCTAAGAGATGGGTCCCGAACTCTGTCCCACACTCAAGGGAAGGATGCAGGGACCTGAGCAGAGGCAGAGGGTAGTGTTGGAAGGTGACTGTCCACGCCAAGGACCACTGAGTTACTGAGCCCAGAAGAGTTGTAGCTTCAGGCATGCAGGTCGTGGCGACCTGACCCTTGCATGCAGTATCCTTGTCCTGGGAGGAGGAGGGAACTGAGGCAAAGAGAGACGGCCAGCGAGTGTGGACAACCCTTCCTTGCGCTAGACTACACCGGCGCCCGTAACCCTGGCCGCCTCCTCTCCTCGAAACCCGAGTCTCCGCGTCTGTAACGGGAACCCCTGGACGGGAGGAACTCCCTCCATCGCGTCCCCTGCCCTGAGTCGCCGGCGTTCTCTTCCCTGGTCCTCTAGACCAGCCGCTTATGAACTCGCGCTGGTCCGAATCGCTCGAGGCTCGGTGACACGGATGCGGGATATCTAGTCGGCTTGGGAGCTAAGAACTTGCATTTCCAAAAAGTTCCCGGGGCCTCTGCGGCCACTAGTTGGTCTCCCGGGGCCCCGGGCCCGCCCGCGCCGCCGCCGGTTGCCGGGCAGAGCCGCGCCGCGCGCGCTCCCATTGGCCGCAGGTGGGCCGCGCCCCGCCCGACAGGTAGTCCTCCTCGGCCGTGCCATTGGGCCGTGGCCACGGGGTCCCTCGAGGATTGGCCCAGGTGGCCGTCCGCCTCACCCTCATTGGCCGCAGGTGCCACCGCCCCCGCCGGGGACCGCCTGCCCCGCCGATTGGCGGCCGTCTCGACCTCGGTCGGCCATATTCGGACACCGCTCCCCCCACCCCTTTACCGGCGCCCCTGTGCGCGCCCCCGCTCTTGCGCGCCCCCGCTGGCCGCACCCCCGCCCCGCCCGTCCGCAGCCCAAGTTCCAAGGAGTTAGCCGGGCGGCCCAGCGCCGCGCCCCCTTCCGCGTTCCGCCGTCGGCCGCACCTGAAGTCTCCGCCCCGCTGCCCGTCGCCCCGCGCCACGGCTCGAGCGCCCGGGGCGCAGCGCTGACGGCGGCCGGGGAGCGCGCCATGCCCAGCAGGACTGGCCCCAAGATGGACGGGAGCGGTGGCCGGGTCCGCCTGAAGGCGCACTACGGCGGGTGAGCGCGCGGCCCGACGGCGGGGGCGCGGGGCCGGTGCGCGAAGCCCGTGAGGCCCAGGGCTGAGTCCGGCGCCGGGAGCAGCTCGTCCCGCGCGGGCCGTCGGGGATCGCTTGGACGCGGCAGGGGCTCAGGGCCGCGGCGCGGAAGGGAAGGCACAGCCAGGTCCCTCTGGGCCCTGGAGCGTCGGAGAGTCGGCTCCAGGCGACGCAGGCACTCTGGGAGCCCTTGAATGTCACCCGCGGGGAGGCTCGTGGGCAGGGCGTGGTGGCCGCGCCCTGCGGGGAGGGCGGCGGTCGCGGGCTGCCGCGCAGGTCTTCTCGCCGAGTCCACTTCGGCGACTAGACTTAACCTGGGCTCAGGCTTGCCGGCAAGGACCCCGCGGCGAGGGCGGTGGCGTCGCTACGAGCTTCTCAGCACTGGTCCCTGTTGTTTACATTTTCACTGGACAGTTGGCTAGGGGCATTAAAGCCTCAAGCCTGTAAGGGCTAAAAGTTTTCACCAAATTGTGGAAACTTCTGGCAGGGATTTAAACATCGGGGTTTTCTAAACTTTCCCTTAATTTACCCGGTCAGATGTCTCAGCTTAATGAAAGTTTGCGCCCTGGGTTGTGTGAATGGAGGGGCCTCCGAGAGAGGACTGGCGGGGCCCGCAGGAATTTTCTGAAACTTACCTGCGCTCGGACTCTGGCTTCCAGGCTCTCCTCCCTACGCAGACCCTGACTCACTGCGGAATGGGACGGGGGGCACCTCACAGAATCAGTGGCTGGGAGCTGTAGACTGGGTCTGGGGAGCTCTGGACGCTTGGCGTGGCCACCGGGCAGCCCTGGTGGGGGTGGTGTGGGTAGTGGGTGAGGGAGGGCTGTTTTTCCTTGCACCAGCTCTTGTCTCCAGGAGGTCTGACCTCGCACGAGTGCTCCCCAGAGGACAGAGAGGATCCAGAAGGTTGCCGCAACTAGGGAGGGGAGTGGAGTGGTTGGACTGGGCAGTCTGGGCATTCCTTAGGGTCTCAAAAGGTGCTGCTCACTTCTCACATTCTTGGCTCCCAAGGCGGCAGCAGGAGCCCTAGAGGCAGGGACAAGCAGTGGGGACCCTCTGAGGCCAGGTCCCCTCCTGGCAGTGCGCTGGGGGTCATCTTTTGTGCTCTGTGACTCTGAGGGTCAGCTTCTGACCTTGAAGCAAACCTTGTTTGGGGTTTGTTGCTGAGACAGTTGTCTCCTCCTGGAGCAGTCCCCTCCAACCCCCCTTTCTGGCCCGTACCTGGGAGCCCCCCAGAGTGTGGTTGGGGGTGGGTTGGTAGGTGGCAGAGCCAGGAGGAAGAGGGATTTCTGGGGGGACAGACTGTCCAGCTGTACCCAAGAATGTTGTACAGTCCTGTCTTTTGGCCTGGGTGTCAGTGGGTCCAAACTGGTGTCATGAGCTCTCAGCCAAACTATAGTGTTGTGGGAAGTCTGGGATTGATCCCAGTGGAGGAAGTCCACACCCGAGGGCTTCAGGGCTGGGTGGGGACAGGACTCTGGGTGGTGGACAGTTCTGGGCTGAGCCAGCCTGCCCTTCCCCTCGCTTTGGCCCCTGGGGAGCTCTTTGGTAACTGGGCACACGAAATTCCACCTGTTGACTCTGGTTTCCTGGGCTGATAAGACCCAGCTGCCCCCAGCACCACCCCTTCCTCTCCTTCTCTTCCTTCTCCCCTTCCCTCCCCTTTCCTCCCCTTCCTCCAACTTTCCCTCTTTTCCCTCCCTGTTCCACTCCCTGTCCTTCCTTCCCTCTCCCACTCTTCCTCTCTCATCTTCCTCCTCCAGCCCCTTCCCTGCTCCTTTTTGCCTGGGCTGTGAAGAGGGTTTCCCCAGCATCCCCTGTCCCTCCTGAAGCTCCCCTGGGTGGGTCTCCTCACAGGAGCCTCAGAAATGAGGACCGTGGCTCGGCGCCTATAGCTCAACC